TTGAGAAAACAGTATTGTTTTCACAATGACTGGACCAACCTACATTCCCACCAAAAATATACGGGGTTCTTTTTTCTCCACATCATCACCAGCATTTGTTCTTTGTTTTTGGTTTTGTTGCTGTTGTTGTTTGATTTTGATATGGGTCATTCTTAAAGGAGCATGGTTTGGATTTTCCCTTCCCTAGTGAGCAGTGTTGTAAGTTTTTTGTGTACCTGTCGGGCATCCATATGTCCTTGCTGGAGATGTGCCTATTTAGCTCTTCTGCCCATTTTTGTTGTTGTTTCTGGAGTCTTTGTTTTCTTCTCATTGGGTTGTATGAGTTCTAGATCTGGTAGATATCAAATGTATGATGTGAGAAAGTTTTCACCCATTTACTAGTCTATCTTTTCATTTAATGATATTTCTTTTATTGTGTAGAGACTTTTTGGTTTAATGTAGTCTGATTTATTTATTTCTGCTTTGGTTTTCCTTGCTGCTGGAGTCAAGTCCTCAAAAACATGATTGAAGAGAAAGCCATGGAGTATTTTGCCTAAGTTTTCTTTATGCATTTATAGTTTCTAGTCTTAGATCCAATTCTTTAATTCATATATTTTTTTTATTTTTAATCAAAAATAAGAAAATAATGGAATAATATATGATGCCCCTAGTTATAAATTCAAATGGATATAGAATTTTTCTCTGAGCTTTTTAAAAACAGTTTGCAGATCAGCAATAAGAAGCCAAAATATCAAATGTGCAGAAAGGACAGGAAAGGCTAAGTCTTTAAGAAGTAGAATATATGGAGGATTTAGGCATGCAAATTGCTTGTGAGACCTAGATTCTCGATTTCCACCCTGTCCATAAACATCTCTTAAGAAGTATATAAATAGGACTTTTATATCATTAAGGGTTTGTTTAAAGATTTAAAGCTACACCTAATCCATTCCTACATAACAGCTTTGAGGTATATTTCTCTAGTTTTTTTTTAGGAATTTGAAACACTGAGAGAGATTTGTATGAGCCAGGATCAGACAAAGGATGACAACGCTATGTTATTGTAGGATGTTAATGCTTAGGAGATTGTATTATGCTTCTGTCACTCAAAATAAGCTGAAGTACCAAGTGCTTTCAGATGTGGATTATCTTTCCATCATCACAGATAAAAGAATGTCAGTGCTGTTACTTTCAGTAAACCTTTCACATGGAGGATTTTCTATCATTTTCTGTGAATAAGCAATGCACACATGAGAAAGAACAGAATGCTGACATAGGAAAATAAATAATTCTTTTCTAAAATGAGTTTAAAACATGAATAGATGAACAAGTAACAATTAAGAAGATAAATTGGAAGAACATGTTGATTTTTTTTAACTAAGAGGAAATAATGTTTCCTTTAGTTTATGAGATGTCAGGAACTTGTTCAAAGACAGTCTATGAAATCTTAAGCAGAAAAGTGTTGATTACATTTCTACCTAGAGGTCCAACATTGTCTGTGTATGACCTTTACTGCATATCCAAATGCCTAGTAGTTCTCTTCATGGATTTCCATCATAGTTACTTTTCTTTCAAAAATGGGGGGAAAATTCTGGGGGCCTCCCCTGGTGGCACAGGTGGTTGAGTGTAGTGCTGTGAAGCTGTCCACAGGCTCTGCAGTGTGGGTTCAATCCTGGCAGGAGAATTGCACATGGCAAGGCAGACCTCTCCTGTCTCACCCGCTGCTCCCTTAAGCAGTGTATTTCGTCAGTCTGCCTGTTCTGCTCCCCGCTCTTCTCTGGTGAATCCTCTCATCCTCCCACACATCTGGCCTGTACCCTGGTTCTTGCATGCATGAATATATGAATCTTTAGAAAAAAATGAGGGAAAATTCTGGAAAATTGTTTTTATCAGAGATGGACTGCTCAAATTTTTTCCCAGCTGAACTGCATTTGTCCTTCCACCATTAAATCATAAAAGCATGATTTAAAAAGCATGATTTAAAAAGCATAAATAACAAACTGAGTAGGGCTTTCAAGGGCCTTATTAATCAGAATAATGGCAACAGCAATAATTAGTGCCACCTACTGTGCTAGGTTCCATCACATTTCATTCAACAATAGTACGAGATCATATTATTATTCCATTTAAGAGATGAGGTAACTGATTCTCAGAATGGCCCCATAACTAATTCTCAGTAACTCTGCATATCATTAGACATGACCAGGATCTGAACACAGATCTGGCCAAAACTCCTTGGGACAATCCTGCTGTGTTCTTCTCACTCCGTTTCTTCATTATGAGAATAAAAATGATGATGACTCCATAGTCCCAATCAAATTATTTCTCTTTATGTTCTGGCCTACAACATGTTCATACAATAGTCCCTGCTTCAGAAGGTCACAAAGGCTCATGAATTGAGAACTAATGGACACAGATATGAGTGGACCATACCAGGCTTTATATCTTATTGTTCTCTTCTGTCATTCTCCAACCCTGCTACGAAGACATAATTTTTCCCTATTTTACATATTCAAAAGGTGAAGCTCTCAGTTAAATAACTCTCTTGAAGCTACACTGTGTAGTAGTGTACTCTCTATACTATATAGTACACATATATTGGGTTGTCAGAAAAATCATGATGCATTGTTTTCTATTTTTTTTTAAGATTTATTTATTTATGCATACAAGAGCTGGGGTACATGCCAGAGGTGTGGTGGGTGAGAAGATTCACCAGAGACAGAGTGAGGAACAGAACAGGCAGATTGACCAAAGTACACTGCTGAGGGGAGCAATGGGCGAGTTAGGAGAGGTCTGCTGCGTCATGTGCATTGCTCCCTGGCTGGCTGGGAATCGGACTTGTGCTGCAGTGGCCGCAGATAGCTTCGTAGGTTGTGCCTTATCACTTGTGCCACCAGGGAGGCCCATTTTTTCTATGTTTTTCAAAGAAAAAATACATTGTTACTTTTCTGACAACCCAATATGTACATTTAATACAATGTCTAGCACATAATGTGTTCAATTGAGAGATGAAGAAAAGCAGGCCATATCTAGAATATTTAACCCATATCCTCTAAGTAAAAATAAAAATCTGATCTTTTGTCTGTGTCCCACAGACTCATCCTAGAGTGAACTGATAAAAGTATTGAGTATTAGTAAAAATTTAGCTATTTTGTTTCCATGGTTACCTTTTTATAGAACCTTCACTGTAGTAATTTTGTTAGATACAGTAGATCTCTCCAGAAAGGAACACACAGACACACAGAGAGAGAAGGCCTGGGTTTAGTTTACTAGTCTCATAAAAAATACTGGACAATTCTCAGAAGCCTTTCTAGATTTACAAAACAGATGTGGGTTAATCCATGGAAGCATCATGGGCTAAATCATTTGGTTACTTAAATTCTTTCACAAAAGTAAGAAATTGCAGACATAAAATTTAAATGACTACTTGGCATCTCTGTTTCCCACAAAAATGTATTTAAAAATAACTAAATAATTGTGCAATGATAATTTTAGATTTTTTTCAGATTCAAGAAAACCTGCAATATGGTGTAATCACCAAAAAAGAAGGAGTGCATAAACTTCTTTAAATCATTAATATATCTGTAATTTGCTAGGAATATCTAAAAGTCATAAAATTTGATTTTTTATAATGTAGAGTCTAGTAAAAAAGAAACAGCAGAATCTTATCTGTGCAGAAAAAAAATTATGTTTTCTAATTTTTTTATCCCATTGCATATTTATCTATGAAATAATATACACAAATAATCCTTCCACAAAAACTTTCCAAATTGAATGTTTAGGAAAAAAATGATAGGGAAGTATCAGTTAAAGGGCACTTAAGAGGGATGTTAGGAGACTAGGGATTCATTGTATTTGGTCTTGCTCTGCGAACAATGTTACCCTCCAGTGTACAACCTGGAATAAACTGAAAAGGGTATTGAGTGTTAGTAAAAGTTTAACTCTGGTCTGATTGAAGAAGTGGCCAAGAGTCCTTCATCTCATGAATTAGTTTTTGCAAATGATCTAAGGACATGGAATTTTCACCTTAGAAATTTCTTTATTATGTGCATTCATTTTTTTCTCCATGTTTTCCCACTGGCATCTGTAAGCACTCACAAGGATTTGTTTATAATGTTAACTAGCTCTTACCTGCTGAGAATGGAAGTAGGAGAAATGAGTGATTGGAATTTTACGAAATGACAGTCAGAGAAATATTATTTTTAACATGGGAAATTATTTCAAAGCACATTTCATTAAAGAAGCAAACAACTCACATATCATTAGGTTTGGAAAGGATTATCCTTTTAGAGACTAGACACCTTTTTAGTTAATAAGGTAATAATGAAGTTGAGACCCATGAATGTTTAGAACAGCAGGGCAACAGGACATTAAGAAGAAATAGTTTAACATTATAAAGACATCTTTCTTCAGAGTCTTGACTAATTCAGATCATAAATTTTTGTTTTTTAATCATATAATTTAAACATATCTTTGAACGTTAGTTTTATTTAACTGCAGCAAAGTTTTTTCTTTTCCTTGTCCTCTGCCAAGGGGCTAGAAAAAAAAATAAATGGGGCAGGAATAAAGTTATCTTATAAAAAGAATTGTTCTAATCCTAATTGAAAATTATTTAAATTCCAGATTTATTCAAATTAGAAAAATGCAAGGAAATTTCCAGATTGTTAGCAGTAACATTCTAAGAACTCTATATTCATCATTTAGAGATGATATCATTTGAAAGAATCCTGTACATGATTATGGATGATCTGTAATGACTTTGGATTTCTTTGGCCTCTTATCTTGTGATTGCTTCACAAAAGGATTTGAGGGTGATGGGGCAATGTCGACAGAGCAGTCCAACACCCACAAGTCAGCTGTGACCACTTTCCTGTGGTTCAGAAGACAGAGGAGGAGGGTTTGGAATATATCTGGAATTCAGATCAAATAGAACCAATTGAGTTATAGTGTGCTCTCAGTGATTCCAAGTGGATCTTCTATCGATAGATTTCTTTACAGTGACATCACAAACATCCACTGTTTTCTCCCACGTTAGTTAATACTCTCTGTTCATGTCATGAAGCCCAGTTTTCCTACATACTGCTGTCATCTGTGCTTCAATAAAGGGAGTGACCTCAATCTAGTCTTATACTACTGGACCAGTTCCTCTGTGGCAAGTGGTTTTGGAGGAAGAACTATGTCTTTAATACAGGGGCTAGTCTCTTGGAAACAGAGTTAAATTTTAAATGAATTAATGATAGATGCACAAAGATATATGATTAAAGTATAATAAAGAGACAATTCTAAGGTAAGTTATATTTGAAATAAAACACATTTTTGTAAGTATGTTATAGCTTAGGAATGGTGATTCAATGAAGACTGTAACATGTCTCAAAGTCCATATGTGGCTTTGTTTGTTCTGCAACTTTGAGTGCTACCTTGATGTTAATTTCCAAGTCTGCATTTCCATTCCAACACTTTGTTTTAAGATACAAATTAATTTACAACTTTACATAGTAAGTTTTAAGCTACCTGACTAGAACAGAACTCATTATTTTTATCTGTTTCTCATCCTCATATTTGTTACTATTTTATCCAATCTTCTAAACTAGAGAAAGAGAAGCAAACTGTGTACTCCTTTACCTCCTCATCAGTAACGGTCAAAACTGTTGACCAAATCTGATTATTTTTTTTATCCCTTACCCTTCTATACTCACTTGAATTTCAGTGTTTTTACACATATTCCTTTTTCCAATTGGAATACCCTTCACCACATTTTTTGCCTAGAAAATTTGTAACTGTCTTTTGTTTATATATTATTTCCTACATGTTTCCTAAAGTCCCCACAAGTAGTCTTAGCATTATGCTCTTCTGTTTGCCTATGAAATTTTGTTCATGACTTTATTATTATGTTGTAGTAATCAGTTTTCATATATGTTCCACTTATTAGTGCATTCTTTTTAATTCAGTTAAATAAAGTTGTCTGCTATAGGAAAGACCCTGGAATATAATCATGAGTTCCTTGTCACACTATTTACCTCTATTTCTTATTTAAACTGTGCCACCTACTATGAGACAATTATCCCTAAGTTCATTTTATTTTACTTTATTTCATTTTTTAAAGATTTATTTATTTATGCATACAAGAACTGGGGTGTAAGCCAGAGGTGCGGGGGAGAGGGGTGGGAGGATTCACCAGAGAGAGTGGGGAGCAGAACAGGCAGACTGACTAAAATACACAGCTGAGGGGAGCAGGAGAGGTCTGCTGCATTATGTGGGTTGCTCCCTGACCTGCCAGGGATCAAAATTGTGCTGCAGTGGCTGGCAATTGCTTAATAGCACTGTCTTTAACCTCTGTACCACCAGTGAGGCCCCTAAAGTTTATTTTAGAGATGAGAAAATTAAGGTTTGGAGAAAATATGTGCTGATAAGTTTTAGCATATAACTGATGGAGCTGATTTCACATAGATCTGATTGATTCCAAAGATCAAACTATACACTTCTCAAGGCAAGGAGCCAAGATAAGAGAGAAATGGAATTAATTTTTATATCTCCAGGAAATACACTGAGTATTTCACAAATATTCTTGAGTAACTGGAAGAATGAATGAATGAATGATTAGGTGGGTATGGTGTACCCTAGTTCACATGATGGATAGCATTTTTTTCTAGTAGTTCTATGGTGACTTTTCTTAACAAGTTGATTTTTTCAGCTATACCTGGATTTTCACATAGTGGGATTGCATGCCAAGAGTGCAGTTACCTAGATAGAACACCAGGCTCCTGCTCTGTGTCTCCAATGAGGCAACACCCCACGAGGTCAGCACTGCTCAGAACTCGGCAGCGAACTGCTGGACACTGGGGCCACCCAAGGAAGGAGCCTTTGGAGCAGATCCAAAGAAGAACAATGAAAATGATTAAGTGGTTGAAAAATTGTCTCTCCGAAGAGAGATCACAGGAACTGGGTCTATTTAGTGTGGAAATAAAAAGAGATGAAACTACCGACATATTTCAAAAATGTGAAAGGCATCATCAGAGGTATGCAGCTATTTTTGATTTTCAGTTATGAAGGTAAAAGCACAGGACAATGGATTTCAAACACAGCACAAAAGTTTAGATTAGTTTGTAAAATCTTGATAACACAATAACCCAATTAACTCCCAAATTATAGTTTTTCTCTGAAAACTTATGAAAAGAGTCAATTAACATGACAAGAAGTATACTATACCCAGAATAACTAGGAAGAAGAGATAGTTGTTTAGGAATGTGGTTAGAAAGCAAGGGGCTAGCTAAGATTAATGCATCTGTGTTATTCACTTTAGAAATGAAAATTATGTCCATCAAACTTGGCTTTGAGAAAAAATCAGTTTTTCTTCTTCATGTTTTCTTTCATATCATTTTGAAAAGTTGAAATCCAAATAGCTTATAAGTAAATACTTTTGGAATATCTATCAAATATTCTTTTTGGCAAGAAACATTATGGAATCATGAACAATTGAAGCGATGATTTATGAGCAATTATCCAGAGAATGACAAACTAGTAACACTCATGCAGAGAATGCCTAGGGTTATACAAAGTGCAGCACTCACAGAGTAACTAGTCTGAAAGTCTGTGTTTCTTATCTCTGGACAGCAGTGTTGGTGTCGATAACAAGACAGTTTATATGACTGCAAGGCACCCCGGACATGTCTATTTTGCCTTTTCACAGACATAAGATCTGTGCGCTGGAATTGTCAGTAATGGTTTTCATCCACCAGAGGCTTGTGAAAGTCTTAGGGGGGTAGCAATGTTTCTATTGTATCATGTTACTGTTGCATGGTGCTAATGTAGTATTAATATGATACAGATGTATTAATTTATTATGGCATCACAGATATTGAAATACATTGGCAAAGGAAATGTGTGGGGAGAGTTATCCATGTCTGCTGAGACTTCCTCCATGAGCCAAAAGAAATCACTTCCCAGAAAGAAGCCCCCACTTACCAGAGAACAACCACACTGTCTAGACTGCCGAAATTGGTGGTATGGGAAAAACACTGAAAGTAGATAATTGACCCCAAATGGCATATACCTGCCATTTGGGTGACCAAGAAAAATAAAAATCATATTAATTACAAATGCCAGTGATCTACACTGTGGTTTAGCTCTGCTTTCTCCCCAGAGACTATTGTTTTTGACAAAAATAAATAAATAAATTCAAAAGGCGTCCTGGCCATACAAGGAATTCTTTGTTCAGACTGGCTACTGACATTCCAAACGAACACTCAAGATAAGGCTATCCTCTCAGAGAACGCAGACACTTTTTTCTTCACCGTCATCAACTTGCCAACATTAAAGGCAGTCTTCACTTTTAGACATCATGTGTTTGATGCAAATGTAACTTAAAGAAGAATCCAGCAAGGCCAAGGCTGGCTGGTCTTGTGTTACATCCTGATTATGCATACGCTGTCAGATGTCAGTAGAAACCACCCCAGGAGTAGCTGTGGTTAGTGAAAAGTGAAACATGAGTCTTTATTATTAAATGTCCAGTAAGAGATGTGGTGAAAAGCAGGACCCCCAAAATGAACTGGTGAAAACCGTGAACTGTCTGTACCTTCCCACAAAATAAACACAAAGCTTTCCTCTGAACATTGTAACCGATCACTTTTTACAATCGCTACATAAACTGTGAAATAAAGGGCATCTTAATGCCATCTTCAGGTCCTAAGCAAGCTTGGTTCTTCACTCTCTTCCCAAATATCCCATTTTCATTAATAGTATATGTTGAGTTCATGCCTTTAGGGACCTTTTTGAAATTACTGAATTTTTAAAAGCAGGCAGTTTTTCATTGGGCCACCACATAAGCCTTGAATTCAGAGCTGTTTTTACTGAATTGGCAGGGGTAAAAAGGAAAGTTAAGAGTCCTTTTATGGAAACAACTTCCCAGAAAGTTATTTTTTATGCATATAAGAACTGGGGTGCAGGACAGAGATGCACGGGGTGAGAGGATTTACCAGAGACAGAGTGGGGAGCAGAACAAGTGGAACCGCTGAAATCCACTGCTGAGGGGAGCAGCAGGCAAGACAGGAGACATGGGCTGCACCATGTGGGTTAGCTCTCTGGCCAGGGATCGAACTCATGCCACAGTGGCTATGGATTGCTTGGGAGTGCTGACTTTGACAACTGATCCACCAGGGAGGCCCAACCAGAAAGTTATTTTTTAACCATGTTTGTCCAATCAAATATAGCACAAAATCTCTTGAATGAGTTTTCTTTCAAACTTTGAGGAATCAGCTGTTTATATTTTTCTTAAAAGCATATATAACTTCAAAACTTTCTTGGGCACAAAGGTGAATATGGGGCCTCCCTGGTGGTGCAAGGGGTTAAGCACAGCGCTATGAAGCTATCTGCATCCTCTGCGGCACAAGATCAATCCCCGGGGAACAAGGGAGCTACCCACACAGCACAGCAGACCTCTCCTGTCTCACTCATTGCTCCTCCTTTCAGCAGTGTATTTCAGTCAGTCTGCCTGTTCTGCTCCCCATTCTGTCTCTGGTGAATTCTCTCACCCATCCCCGCACCTCTGGTCTGTAGCCCAGTTCTTGTATGCATAAATAAACAAATCTTTTTTAAGAAGGTGAATATGAATGACACTGAAATTATTTAGACAATTAATACTGCCTTATTCCCTCATTTTATAATAAATCCTTCATAGCTCTTTGCTAAAAGATAAAAAGTATCCCACTTTTTTTTATGCTAACACCTTCTGCTACTGAAGTGGCTATCTAGAAACAATGGCTGAGTGATTTTGATTGCATATCTATCAATCTATAGCTATTTAATTTCTGCTAATTATTAATCACATACCTACTTTGGATTTAGTAGGGACGTGTGTGGTAGAACTATCACACATCCTTTCCCTCTATGGATGTTCAATGATTTTTGGAACATTTTCAGGAATACCCAAAGCACCAACACAGAATGGATCTATCAAATACCCAGAAAAACTAAACTCAGTAGCATCAAGATGTTTTTGTAGTTTTGAGAAGAAATATTAAAAATGGAATACAATGGAGAGTCAAGATTTTATAGGTGCTTTCTGGCATAAAATTATTTGGGGTTATTGGTGATGGGTAAAGGAGTAAATATTGACTTCTTTTCTAGTTTAGAGAACTGAATAAAATTATAATGATGATGGAAGTGGATAAAAATAAACCATGAGTTCAGTTTCAGGCAATAACTTTAAGGTAAGGTATAATAGGAGATAATGCTGAGAGCCCAGCTAAGGATCAGATCATGAAGAGTCTTTAAGGTGTAATAAGAAGCTTA